ATTACAGAATATACATACTTTAGGATATTCAAAATTATCAAATGAGCTCACAATTCAATGACTTGTAGCTCTGACAAGCAAGTTGCTTTGGTTCAGGATTTTGCAACAGCAGCATTATTGACGTATGGGGCAAGATAATTATGAGGGCTGTCCTGTGCATTGAAAATGTTTAGCAGCATCCCTCGCCTTTACCCACTAGATACTAGTAACACCCTCTTTATCCTGGTTATGACAACTCAAAATGTCTTCAGATACTGCAGAATGTTCCCAGGAGGAAGGGAATCATCCGTGGTTGACTAGATCTTCCCAACGATTAAGTTATAATTGTTCTGGAATTTTATTGCTAAATTCTTTAATACGCAATAGGATCACAATGTTCTCAGGGTCAAACTAGCCTGCTGCAGGTTCAGAGTAGTTAATAATTTCCCAAAGTTAACACTTAGTGCTAAGACCTGAACCATAATACAGTTTTTCCCTTAATGCCATATTTCTCAGTTGAAGCCCTAGTTCTGTATTTCCCAACCCCAAAATCATCAGTTCTATTGTACCCCAATAATATAACCTTAAAAATCACTAAAACGCTGTTAGATATTTATTGCCCTATTTATATATTTGAAAATAGACAACCTGAATATCCAAGAATGGAAAATTGGTAAAATATATAGGTAAATATATAAACTTTATTTTAATATATTTTATTGATATTTTACAGAGAGGAAGAGAGAGGGACAAAGTTAGAAACAGCGATTAGAGAAAACATAGATCAGCTGCCTCTTGCACATCCCCTACTGGGGATATGCCCAAAACCAAGGTACATGCCCTTGACCAGAATCGAACCTGGGACCTTTCAGTCCACAGGGTGATGCTCTATCCACTGAGCCAAGCCGGTTTTGGCTAAATATATAAACTTAATGTCTATCTACACTAATAAAAGAGAAAGATGTAAATTGACCGTACATCCACCAGCCAATCAGGAGTCAATATGCAAATTAACCCAGCAAAATTGCCAGTTATTTTGCATATGCAGGTACGGAGCAAAAACTGAAAGGCTGAAGGCTTGGCTCCTCTGAAGCCGGAGCCAAGCCTGAAGGCTGAAGGTGGCCCAGATCCCAGGTGCCGGAGGAAAACCAGTGCCAGCAGTCAGGGGAAGAAAGGCCTATTGCACAAATCTTTGTGCAGTGGGCCTCTAGTTTAAAATAATCATGTATAACAGTATTTATCACTATGTTAATATGTTTGTAATAGGCTAAGTGAGAATAAATTATAAAACACAAATGACTCCTAATTTAAAAAAAGAAACATGTTTGTATAAAAAAATAAATAATACATATTATAAAATCTGATAGTTGACAATTGTGAGTTTGTATGGGAGGATTATTTTAGGGGATTTGTCTGTATTTTTTACTCTTCTACAATGAACATAGATTTCTTTTTTAAAAAGTAAATATTTTTATTAAAAATTACTTCATACACAAAAATCATAAAGATGAAAGTGAATTCCTATAATAGTAATGGTGTTAAAGGACAGCACTATATATGTCACGATGGATTGAATAAGTTATGTTTCCAAGTTTATCATTTGATTTTGATCTATGGTATATCTGAACATATTCAACATCAGAGTCTTACTGAACCAACTTGCTAGGCTCTATCTGTGAAAACACTATGATAATTTGTATTGAAAACTCTTTGTAGTAGCTAACATCCTTGTTAACCTCTTTGTTCCTAAAACCAAAATACAATACTACTATGAAATAAAGAAATACAAAGAACTTACAAATTATACTTACTAAGACTATCTGACAGGCAGGGATAAAAACTGTGGGCTTGGGATTTTTTTTTTTCCTTAACATAAATTAACCCTCTTCCTTCTGCTCACCAGGCTTTATAAAGCTCCTATCTTGAAAGCCAACAAGACAATCCCAGCCTCTCCTGCTCCTTCTCTGTATGAACTTTAACATAATAAGTCACTGAGTACTTATTAGATAAAAAGTGTTGATAAGCTAGGTACACAGTATAGACAAAATAAGAACAGCATATAATTTGCATTTATTGTTTTATGTGCCTTGTTGCTCTTTTTCCAAACTACATGTTAGAAAGCAGGGTCAATTCTATGTAAAGAGGCGGTAACGCCGAAACCGGTTTGGCTCAGTGGTAGAGCATCGGTCTGCGGACTGAAAGGTCCCAGGTTCGATTCCGGTCAAGGGCATGTACATTGATTGCGGGCACATTTCCAGTAGGGGGTGTGCAAGAGGCAGCTGGTCGATGTTTCTCTCTCATCGACGTTTCTAGCTCTCTATCTCTCTCCCTTCCTCTCTGTAAAAAAAATCAATAAAAATATATTAAAAATAATAATAAAGAGGAGGTAACGAATTACTGGTCACATGTGTGAGTGCTCCTGAGACATCTTTCCAACCTAAATTGTAATTCATTAAGTAACACTGCTTTTTGTGGTTTTACATTTGTCTATGTATGACTTCTGATTTAAAATGGGACATTCCAGCCGAGACCGGTTTGGCTCAATGGATAGAGCATCGGCTTGGGGACTGAAGGGTCCTGGGTTCGATTCCGGTCAAGGGCATGTACCTTGGTTGTGGGCATATCCCCAGTAGGGGGTGTGCAAGAGGCAGCTGATCGATGACTCTCTCTCATCGATGTTTCTAACTCTGTCTCTTTCCCTTCCTCTCTGTACAAAATCAATAAAAATATATATTAAAAAATAAAATGGGACACTCCAATCTTGATAGCCATCATCATGGCCCATTATTACCAAGAGATTGCCTCCTGTTTATCTGGATCAGAGATATCCCTGAGTCCAGATTTCTGGTGAGCTCCCAGCTGCATTTATCCATAGTCCTCATGGATATGCCAGAGTCAAAGACTGAATTTAAGTTAATATGTTGTCCGTAATATGTCCATGTCTCTCACATTTGAAGCAAAGCTTATACATTGATTTGCCAACATAACACAAATTTTGATGACATTTACAAGTAATCACCAATCCTATATAATAAAGAATATGCAAATTAACCTTCACACCCTCACAAGATGGCTGTCTACAACTAGTCTGGCAGAAAGGTTAGTGAGGGACAACCAAACGACTGAATGAGCAGACTGTGTGGGGCGACCAGGCCAGCGAGAGGTGTAGTTAGGAGTGACTAGGCTGGCAGAGGGGGGCAGTTGGGAGCAACCAAGCAGGCAGGCAGGTGAACATTTAGGAGTCAGTGGTCCAGGATTGTGAGAGGGATGTCTGACTGCTGGTGTAGGCCTGATCCTGGAGACATCCCCCAAGGAGTCCTGGATTGGAGAGGGTGCAGGCTGGGCTGAGGGGAATTTTGTGCACTGGGCCTCTAGTACCTATATAAATACAAACTTTAAAAATTCACACCCACATGGATTTCTAACGTTTTTATAACCAACATGTATTATTCATATACAAAGAACATTTATTTTTTTTATTTTTTAGAAAGTTCACATGAATTGACTCCGTTCTGTCTGCATATCCAGATAGTTCTGATAGTTCTCAACTTACAAGGAACTGGTTCAGTTCTTCTAAAGCCCAGGAAACAGAATAACTCTCAAATAGTTGAAAATACATATACTAAGAGTAATAAAGAAGCTTATTTTATTGAACACTAATAGGTGCCAAGGATTGTATTCACTAATCAAATCCTCACAACAACCCTATCAGATATACTCTCCTTATCCTCATTTTATAGTTAAGAAAACTGGGTCACAAAATTATAAAATTCTACCCTCAAATCTCCAAATCTAGACAGGGCAGAAATGGACTGCAACCCACCCTAACTCCAAACCCAAGTTGCAGATTATGCTACACTCCTACCCTTGACCTTTGCCTTCTAAGACAAAGGAGCAACAAACAAACAAAAACTCAAGGAATAAAAAATACAGGAATAAACAAATACTCTAGAAGTCATAATAATGGATAGGGGTGAAATGTGACATAACGGGGGGGGGGGGGGGGGATTGTTCAGTGAATGAATGAATGAATGAATGAATGAATGAAATGTATGAGACTTTAAACTCCCTCATTTCTCAGCAAAAATTATTTGGAGCTCAGAAAACTAGGAAAGCAAGAGGAACAATAAAGCCTACAATTTCGTAGTAAAAACCTTCATTATTCTAAACCACAAGAACTCACAAAATCTTGCCTAGAATCACTTTCCAATCAAGAGCGGCAACAATATACATGCCTTCCTTTAACCAGAACAAATGCTCCAACTTCAACACGCGAGAGATCCCTAACACAAGTTCAGCTAGAGCCAAAAAATACTGAGCTCAGGAATCAGGGCACGCCATTCCGAGGCAGTCCCTCCTTAGCTGCGTGATCTCTGGCAATCCCCTGTTCCCTCTCAGTGACCTCAACTACCGCGTCAGGGGGTTAAACACTGGAGTTGTCATGTTCAGCTCTAAGAGAAGGTGAACCTGTGAGAGAGGAAACTCCTGCCACACTTGAAAAGGCTCACGGATACATTTAAAACACCGTGGACGATGGGTTCTTGGCCCTGGCTGGAACGTGGGACAGAGAAATCGGCTTCCAGGCCCTTGAGACTCAGAGAGCAAGGTCAGGTTTGGCTTTCTCTGAGGAATGTTGCTTCAACTTCTGCGTGAACTGTGACCCAGTAATCAAGTCGGAGTCGGGGGAGGGAGCGGGGGTGAAAGCAGCATTGTGGGGGGGGAGGGGGAGACACAATTCCCAGCCGTCAGAACCCTCGCTCAGACCCTGGAGCGCCGGAATGAGGCCCGGAGCGCGCAGCTTCCCCGGCGCCGCACGGAGAAGACTTCGTAGGAACAAGTGAAGAGTCGCACCATCAAATGCCCTAACCTGCCGCATGCCCTAACTCCCGGGCGCCCTAACTCCGGGGAACCTCGGCCTCGGGGCTCCCCGCGCCGCGCCCCTCCCGGCAGCGCGCAGGCGGCGCGGGGCGCGGAGCTCCGCACGGAGCGCGGGGAGCCGCGGGCCGCGGGGACCCGGTTACCTGTGTCGGCCCCCGCGCCGGCGTGCAGCACTCTGACCTCCGGCCGCCCGTCGCCGCCCGGCCGGCCGCGCACCACCTGCCGCAGCAGCAGCCGCACGCGCCGGGCGGCCGCGCCGCCGGGGCTGCCGGGCGCCCCGAGCAGCAGGAGCCGGGACTGCATGGGGTCGGGTGTCGCCGGCCACGGTACGGGACTCCGGGCGAGCCGTGTCCCGAGCAGCGGCGTGGGCCGGTGCGGCAGCGGGACAGGAAGCTCGCCGCCCCGAGTCCGCCGGAAACTCCTTCCCCCGGCGCCGCGGGCTCCGCGGGCTCCGGCCCGGGCCCCGGGGGCGGGAGCCCGGGCGGCAGGAGGGACGACGGGGTCGCGGGGAGCCTGGGCCGGGCCGGGCCGGCCGCCCGGGGCTGCGGGCCCTCACTCCCGCGCCTCGCCTCGCCCTCCCCCGTGGCCTGGCTTCCCCGGGCCTCCCTCCGGGCCCCCGCGATCTCCTGGGCGCCCGGAGAGCCAGGCATGCGGCGGGTTAGGGCATTTGATGGTGCGACTCTTCACTTGTTCCTACGAAGTCCTCCCTTGTTAATAGCCTGGTCTTATCGCGCACTTTGCCCGCGCGCTGCTTCCCATCCTTTCCAGATGTGGAGCATATATGCTCACGAGATTGCAGAACTTCCACTATCTGGATTCATTGTATCCACGCCAGTGTGCCCACACAGCATTTGAAAACCTTGCGCCTTATCCTTTTTCCTACTGTCTTCCCCACATTTTAAATAGAAATCCATATCCTAGTGATAGGTAGAGATTGCCAAAATATCAGAAAGGATCTAAATCAAGCAATTTTAATCACTCTGCGATGAAGAATTATAAACGTGATTTATGAGTTTAGTTAGAGAAACTGGGAGCACTGGTTAAAGCTGCCTCCCGTTTATACTACCAAAAGCAGAAGTGGTCCTACCACAAAGAAAACTAACCCTAATATAACTATAGGGCATCTCCAAAATGTCCGGCAAACAGCTCAAATGAAGTTCTACAAAACAAAGGCAGAGCCCTGGCCGGTTGCTCAGTGGAGAGGTTCCATTCCTGTTGAGGGCACAGTCCTGGTTTGCAGGCTGGACCCCTGCAACCAATCCATGTGTCTCTCTTTCTCTCATTGATGTTTCTCTGTGTGTGTGTCTCCCTCTCCCCCACTCTCGAAGAATCAATGGGGAAAATATCCTCGGGTATTAACAGCAACAAAAAATAATATTTAAAAGACAGTGGCTTCATTTTTAGCTAAAGGACTTGTTAATTCTAGAGTTGGAATAATAAAAGTAAACATTTTGTAGAGCATTGCAACATGGATTTACACATATGTTCTCATAATCTTCACAACTCTAAGAGTGCTGGGGGAAATGACATGAATGCAAGATGTAACACTTTATGAAATGCTTACCTACTTTGAGTACCTATGTCTGGGATATTTTGCTTCAAGATGCTCTAAAGTGAAGCACTCCAACTGGGAGATGTCAGTGAGGTTTCACAGAGAAGATAATATTTGAAATAATTTTTGAAGGAGATGAAAGAGTTTTTCAGGCTGAGAAAAGGGCAAATTATATCTGAAAATACATGACAAAACAAAATCAGGGAGGGATGCCCTGTGTTTGGAGTTCAAGTACAATATATAAAGCAGTTGGTAGAGATAAGCCTGGAAAGAAAAATTGGAACCAAGTTATTTGCAAGGAGTAAGAGTTTGCACATTAACCTCCAGGAAATGGGAAAATGGAGAAAAAAAAATTTAGAATGACAAATCTACAATGTGAAGGAGAAATTTGATCCAGAAATAAAGGTTGCATCAGAACTTTACTTTGAATATTATTTTAGATTTGGATAAACAAAGATTAGGAGTATAGAGCATCAATACAGGCTTAGATGCTTGACAAGCATGGTTAGTTTAATAACACTGAGACTAAGACTAGCAAAGTAAGAGGATATAATATTTGGAAAGTAGGAGAAGGAATTCCTAAGTCCTTAATTATGTGCCTCATAAGAAACCACCAATCAGTGTGTGCCAAGTATCTAAGCCCCATTCTTTTCCTTCCCTCCCCTCAAAAGGCATGTTCACCCCAGCATGTCTGCTTTTTCTCCTTTGGAAGGCAGCCCAGCCGGGGTCTTTTCCTTCAACAAAGCCTGTGTCCTGGTTCTCCGGCCCCTCTGTCTCATCTTTCACTGGTCAAGGGCATGAACCTTGGTTGTGGGCACATCCCAAGTAGAGGGTGTGCAAGAGGCAGTTTATTGATGTGTCTCTCTCATGGATGTTTCTAACTGTCTATTCCTCTCCCTTTCTCTCTATAAAAAAAAATCAATAAAATATATTTTTTAAAAGAGGATTAATTCTGTGATCTCAACCAAAATTTTAATATAACAACCAGTTTAAATTTAATTGATACCCTACATAATAAAAGAGTAATATGCAAATTAACCATCATTCCACTACACCCACAAGCCACACACACAAGCCAATCAGAGTGAGTATGCAAATAAACCCAACCAAGATGGCTACAGCCACAGAGAGCAGGAGGGAGGCTTGGGTTTCCCAGGCAATGGGGGAAGCCACACTTTCCACCTGCCCTAGCCAGCCGAGGCCTCCACTCAAGGCTACAAAATTTCATTTATAGAAGGTAAACAAATCCAAACAGAAATGGCAGCTGCAAGGGAGCAAGCAGGAGGCTTGACTTCGATCCAGGCTACAAAGTTTCACTTGTGGAAGATAAATAAATTGCAGATACCAGGGCCTCCATTTGGGTCACCAGGAGCATGGCTGGCCTGCAAACCACCACAGGCCCCTTGCTCAGGACACCCCATGCCCCAAGGGAACCCCCACCCTGATCCAGAACACCCTTCAGGGCAAACCAGCCAGCCCCCACCCATGCACTAGGCCTCTATCCTATCTAATAAAAGAGTAATATGCAAATTGACCATCACTACAATACACAAGATGGCTGCCCTCATGTGGTCAAAGATCCTGCCCCCATGTGAACACAATATGGCCACCACAAGATGGCCAGCAGGGGAGGGCAGTTGGGAGGGACCAGGCCTGTAAGGGAGGGCAGTTGAGAGGCACCAGGCCTACAAGGGAGGGTAGTTGGAGGCAACCAAGCCTGCAGGGGAGGGCAGTTAGGGGTAACCAGGCCGGCAGAGGAAGGAAGTTGGGGGCAAACAGGGTGGCAGGAGAGCAGTTAGACATCAATCAGGCTGGCATGGGAGTGGTTAGGGGGTGATCCGGCTCGCAGGCATAAGTGGTTAGGAGCAATCAGGAAGGCAGGCAGTCGAGCAGTTGGGAGCCAGCAGTCCTGCATTATGAGAGGGATGTCTGACTGCCCACTGGGATCAGGTCTAAACAGGCAGTCGGACTTCCCTTGAGGGGTTCCAGATTCGAGAGGGGACAGTCTGGGCTGAGGGACACCCCTCCCGCCCCCATGCACAAATTTCGTGTACCGGCCCTCTAGTCTTAAGATAATTATAAAAAGTATATAACCTTTAAATGTATACATTTGATGGTCTTTTCAAGTTAAATTTCAAGGCTATAATTGAGAGATGATTCTTGGAAAACTCTAAGGGCCCGGAGTGATTCAAAGCGTTTGTTCACTCTCTTAAAGGAAATATTTTAAATTAAACAGATTTAATATACTTAAAATCACATGGAAAGCTTTAATAAATAAATTAATAAATATATTTTACTTATATACATATATTTGAAATGTTATGAAGGTTTTAGCCTCTAAGGAGGGCAAAATAAAGTAACAAAATATTTCTTAAAATCGAACAGGAATATGAAATTAGGAAAAATTCTCTAAAACCAGGAATGAAGCTGGAAGAAGAAACTGGGAAGGAAAGGAATAATTGAAAGTGCCGAGTGCCTTGGAAACATAAACTTCTACTATCTCTGTGCCTACAGCACCAATAGGAAGGAAGGAGATCAAAGATTCCAGCATAACGTCAGGACTGGCAAAGGACTTTACAGTTAGCTAAATGGTTGACTAGGAAAAAGATTTTTTGCAGAGGTAGCAGCAAGAAATAACGTTTGTCTATTTGATTCTAGGTAGAATTTTTTTTCCTCTAAAAATGTGTGGTTTCTACTTGAAACTCAGATGGGTTTGAGGCATGAATATACAGTATTTGCTTGTTATTAAAAATATATTTCAATAATTTTAACTTAAAATGGAATTAGTAAATATATAAGATATTCAAATAATGCCATTAATAAGCTTTATTTGGTTAACATCAAAAAATGAACAAGCATCAGTAGAATAGTATACATTATTTGCAAGAAAAAATAGAACATTAGAAATGGGTTATATTAAAAGACATAAAATAAGTTTCAACAAAAATCAAAGAATAGAGAACACAATTTTTTATATTAATATAATTAAGTAAGAAATAAATTTATGTCAATTTTTAAAAATAAATAAGCTTTGACATACTCATGGATCAAAAAATAAAATAAAATTGGGAAACACTAGGAACTGCACAATCATGAAAATGTCTCTTATTAAATCCTGTATGTGTAGCTGAAGCCATTCTATGCTTAGAAGCTGAAAATGGGCAAATTACTCAACTTAAGTATAAAAAAAGAATAATAGATTAAATCTAAAGGAAGTTGAAAGGAAAAATATTAAAGACATTAAAATTATTTAAAGATATAAAAATAAATTTAAAAGATAGAATCAACAAAGACAAAAGTTCATTGTGTGTGAAGACTTTTTTATAGCAGAAATAAAATCAATAGTAAGTGAATACCAAGGCATTAGCAAGACTGTTGATGACTGCCTGACTGGTTTAGCTCAGTGGATAGAGCATCAGCCTGCAGACTGAAGGGTTCCAGGTTCAATTCTGGTCAAGGACACATGCCCAGGTTGTGGACTTGATCCCCAAGGAGGCTGTGCAGGAGGCAGCCAATCAATGATTCTCTCTCATCATTGATGTTTCTATCTCTCTCTCCTTCTCCCTTCTTCTCTGAAGTCAAGAAAAAAATATTTTTAAAGTCTGTTTATGACTGCCATTACTCCCACCAACATTAGATTCCATAACACAAACTGTGGATAATGAGGTTGGTAAATAACATAAGGACAATTACATGGTTATATTTGATTATTGTCATCACAGCTAACTTTAGAATGTTTAATAGGTAAGAT